TTTTTTTTTTTTAATTTTAGCTAATTATCTGTTGATAACCCTGCTAATTCAAGTCATTTAGGACAAATTGTTTAATTTTACAGTGTTCAATGATTTAATTGAACTTTTTTTTTTTTTGTTCAGTGGCCTAATTGCACTTTCAGGTTACGTTCGGTGGTCAATTTGAATATTATTCATATTTTCAATTATATAACACTCCAAAAAATGTTGTAGGTCACCTAATTATTTCAGACATATATATTTACTCTCTGTGACACTGACTTTTGTATTTATTTCAATAGTATTATTTCTTTTTTTTGAGGTGCCAAATAGGGGAGAGTGGATGGAGAAAAAGAAAAGGGGGAAAAAACGAATCTGGTATTTTTTTTTTTTAAAAGGCGCCCCGAGTACACTACACAGTACACGCGCCATGTTGGACGCAAAGTTTCTCTGCATGGACGGATTGCGTGTCACTTTATTTAAAAGGTAGGCCCCACAAAAAAATAATTTGCACGAAAAAATATCCCAAAAATTCATCTTCTCATTTATTAAAAATCTCTCTTTGATTTTTCTTCCACAAAAAAACTCAAAAAATGCACAATTAGGATTGCTCTAAAACTCAAAAAATGCACAATTAGGGACGCAAAGTTTTGGCATGCACCCGGACAAGAACCTGGGTTTTGATGGTTTTAATCCGGGATTTTTTCAATCGTATTGGGATATTTTATGTGACAGTTTGGTGGATTTTTGTAATGAATTTCTGACCTTTGGAAAGCTGCCCAAGAACATTAATATAACCCAGATCGTGTTGATTCCTAAAAAACCCACCCCTGAGACCATGGCCAACCTTAGGCCAATTGCCTTGTGTTCTGTTGCCTACAAGATTATTGCCAAAGTGTTGGCAAATAGGTTAAAGGGCTTATTGAATGATCTCATTTCTGAGAATCAAGGTGTTTCTGTCCTAGGAAGACAAATCACCTACAACATAATGATTGCGTTCGAGATGCAACATTATATGAAACGTAAGTCCCAGGGAAAAAATGGTTTAGCTGCCCTCAAGTTGGATATTAGTAAGGCATACGACATATTAGAGTGACCCCTTCTGAGGAACATTATGATCAAATTGGGATTTGATGTAAGATGGATCAATTTAATCATGGAGTGTGTCTCAACTGTGAGCTATTTTGTGTTGAACAAGGGGCAGGAAATTGGACCTATCATACCACAAAGAGGCCTTAGGCAAGGAAACCCTATCTCTCCTTATCTGTTTATTTTGGTTGCTGAGGGATTCAGTGCTATGATCAGGGATTACGAGAGAATTGGCAGAATTCATGGTTTCACAGTGGCCAGAAATGCTCCTTCTATCAGCCACCTATTTTTTACCGACGATAGCTTCATTTTCTTCAAGGCATCGGTGGAGGAAGCAACAAATCTGAAACAACTTCTTATGGACTTTGAGAAAGCCTCTGGTCAATGTATAAACCTGAACAAATCAATACTGGCTTTTAGCAAAAATACCTCTGATTCTGTGAGATATCAGCTCAGCAACATCTTGGGCATTCATCACAGTGGCAATAATGAAAACTATCTGGGGCTCCCTATGATCATCGGCAGAAATAAGACTGACATTCTGAAATTTATCAAACATCGTATTGTGAGCCGTATTTAGGGATGTGAATCACGGATTTATCTCTAAAGCTGGGAGAGAGATATTGCTGAAATTTGTCCTTCAGGCTATCCGTCTTATGCTATGGGGGTATTTCTTCTGCCAAAAGGGTTAATCCAAGAAGTAGAAACTACATTGAAACTCTTATTGGTGGAAAGGTGGTGGTAGCAACTGCAAAGGTATCATCTGGAAAAGCTGGAAGGGTCTCTGCACACCAAAGAAATGGGGTGGACTTGGTTTCGGGATCTTCATGGTTTCAATCTTTCTCTTCTTAGTAAACAAGCCTGGAAATTAACCATTGATCCCAATTCTTTGGTTTCAAGAATTTATAAGGCGAGATAATTTCCTAATTATTATTTTATTGATGCTAGATTAGGTGCCAACCCGTCTTTCATTTGGAGTAGTTTAATGGCTACTCAAGACATAATTCGTAAGCATTCAAGATGGAGGATTGGCAATGGTTCTCACACTCGCATTTGGGGAGATAATTGGCTACCGGATATCAACAACCCTAAATTTATGTCATTTCCTTACCCTCTCATGGAACACTCCAAAGTGGAAGACCTCATTGACCCAGTTACTAAGTATTGGGATGAGAACATCATTCGGGAGATCTTCACCACCAGAGATGCAGATTTGATTATGAAGATTCCTCTTTCCAATCAGAATGTGCAGGATACTGTTATCTGGGGCCCTGAAGACAATGGGAAGTTCTCGGTGAAAAGCTGCTACAAGGCCATTGGTGGAGTGTTGAGATCGGAAGATATTAAGCATTGGAGTAGAATATGGAGTTGTAAGCTTCCGTCGAAAGTCAAGACATTCTTATGGCAGGCTTGCACTTCGTGCCTTCCTACCAAGGATAGATTAAGACAGAGGCATATCAACTGTGACGAACAATGCATTCTGTGCAGCAGCCGCAGCGAGTCCATCATTCATCTTCTCGCGGAATGCAGCTACACCAAGTCTTGTTGGAATTATCTCCATTTTAATTCTCTTCAATGCACCATAAACAACTTCCAGACTTGGTTGACTATCGCGTTGGCCACCTTATCTAAAGATCAGTTCTATACCTTCTCCATGGTCTGCTGGAATGTGTGGAATCTGAGGAACAACATTGTTTGGAGAAGCCAATCCATCGAATCGCCGAGCAGTTTGATAACAAAATCACAGGCCTAATACTCTGCTTGAACTGCTGCAACCACAGATAATCAGCATATGCAGAGAACTGCTGCACCTAATGACCAGTGGAAAAAACCCAGGCTTGGCTTCATGAAGTTGAACGTAGATGTTGCCATTAGTGCCAATGAAGGCCGCATGGAATTTGGCTGTGTGTTAAGGGACAATCATGGACAGTTCAGGGCTGCAAGGGGAACGTACTGGAGAGGATTGTTTTCATCTAAAGAGGCCGAAGAAGTGGCGATCCGCGAGTCACTATCCTGGCTCAAATCCCTTAACGTTGACAACGTTATCATTGAGTCCAACTCCTTAAAAGTTATTCAGAGTATCAATTCTGAGATTGGAGTTTCATCCTTTCATTTGATTTTAGCTGATATCAAAAACTTAATGAGTAGTTTTGCTCATTGTAGTTTATGTTTTGCTAGGCGATCTGCGAATCAGGCAACCCACTTGTTAGCAAGGCAGTCCGTTTCTTTGTCTGAAATTCGAAGTGGTTCACAGATCCTCCTCCTATCATTTGTAACTCTCTTCATTTAGATTCAATTTAATGCAATGCTCGTTTGGTTTCAAAAAAAAAAACGTAACGTGGGATGAGCCGTGCATGATTCAACATTTCACCAAAGGTATGCCCCCCTCCTATTCCTGGATTGCCTAGTCAGCACAATCAAGCATGGAAAAACAAAAAGAATTGGAACAATTATGTAATTTGTTATTTATATTTATTTGTTATCATTACCTTTTGCTTAAAATTTAAGATATCAGTGTTGGGCCAGAGAGTCAGAGTCTGCAAGACCAAAAAGCACCCCTCTATTATTGTAGGAATAATTAGTAGTCACTAGTCAGGAATGAGGCATGGAGATTCCATTTCTATCTTAACTAATCATTATGACGTATTGAGTAATTTTAATAACTCCCAAGTTATACTCCTATTTTCTATTTTAGTACACTAAAAATAAATTTATAATATACTAATCAGTGATCACCTTACAACGATCATGATCCTGATTCACAGGTATAATAATATAATTTGTCGTTCTTAACTCTAGTTATAATTCTATCCTACTATGCAATTAAGCTTGAATTCATAGTTATATACTCTGAAAAGTAGAACTCCAATTATATATCTAGATTTTACTGAAAGAAAAAAAATGAAAAGAATAAAACTAATACTCCGAAACTAATTTTCTTTTTCCTGAATCAATCAATGATATACACATGCACGCACACATAAATGAGCATTTAATTCTTTAAAAACTGTGCTAAGGGCAATGAATATCACTAATGATCGCCTCAAAAACAGTTAACATTATATTGATTAATGGACACAATATTTGTATATAGAAATCATACTTATTTTGCCAAACAGCTTATAACTCAATGACATCTCTGTAACTTTTTTTCCAGAGTCACTGATTCAAACTTCGATGAGATATTAACTCTTTGTACTCCCAATATATTAAGTATATATATACACTGAAATTTTGGTAGCACTAAAAGAAAACATACCTTTTCTAAATACTATTGACTACTGCGTTACAATGTAATATATATTCATATACTTTCTCAACGGCAAATTATGTTGTGCAACCATGGTGCACACGGTTGCCAAAACGACATCGTTTTGACTAAAAACGCGCGTCCCACTTAAAAAAAAAAAAAAAAAAAAAACAAAATCAATTTCAATTCCCGACAACAGTATTATGTTTTGCATAATTTGAACCATATATCCAGAATGAATGAACTATATATCCAGAACGAATGAACTAAATATCCAGCATGAATGAAAAAAAAAAATCAGTTTCGATTTTCGCGTAAATATCCAGAATGAATGAACTATATAGTACAAATTCTGCACAACATAATGTTGTTGACGGAAATCAAAATTAATTTTTTTTTTTAAGTGGGACGCGCGTTTTTAGTCAAAACGATGTAGTTTTCGCAACCGTATACACCATGCATGGAGCACACGGTTACACAGTATAACGATTGTTTCTCAACCTATTGAAGAAGCATAAAAAGTTAATATCCCCACTGGAGTTTAAACCTGTAAGCTCCATTTGAGAGAACCACAAGGTCTTTTAACAAAAAAGAAATCATACCTTTCTAATAACTGGGCTAAACAGTTTTAAGAGGAAGGCAGTCATGCACATCGCATATGCAAGGAAGAAATATAGCACGGTAAACAGGAAACCAAGAAAATTTCCATATTAACAAATATTGCATCTTATTCCTCTGTAATACACTAATACTACCTAGAATTTCGGCTGATCCATTGGTACAGTGCTGCTGCTGGTTTGGTACAAGTACTCCAATTAGCCAAGGCATCTACTTTCACTTCCATCTTCAGCAACAAGCGTGTGAAATTGTTATTGAAAAAAGACCAAAAAAATTTAGAATCTATGGTACAATACAATCAAATAAAAAAATTAAAGAATATTCGAGTTTTGCAACAATTTACAAATCATGCAAATATCTGCTGAATCACCATCTCTGCATTTCCATTGTACTGGGCAAGGAGATGAATTGCATCCGCCCTTGGCAAAGCAAGAAATTCCTGCACATGTGGTTAGCATGTCAAGACTAAACCGGGATCCTTCAACCAGGCCTCCACCCACCCACCCACGCACACCAGTGCACATGCATACAACAACACACACACACACACACACACACACACACAAACAGGTACACAGTCAAGGGAGTACTACAGTTGGAGTATAACATTACGGTATTATACAAAGTGAAAATGAACTTATCAACATGAGACTGACAATTTTTCATCTCATCAAACAGTTATCAACTAAGCTTCAAATCTCACTGACTCTTGCTATGAATGATGATACATTTTGTACTATACATGGATTTTCATCCTATAGATGTAACAATGCCAATTTTAGCTTCCTAAAGGAATTCCATCCAAAGGCCATGAAGAGTAACTTCCAATTCCCACGCTAAATGGAAAAGGGAAAACAAATACTTACTACAACATTTTGAAACACTCCAACCCTAATTTCCAATCACAGTCTCTTGTGCTTAACATATATATTTAATAATGGAACTTCATTAGAGATTATTTGTCAGATTGGTAAAATACTTAGCGAGAGAATTGCTGTGGCTAGAATGCCCAACTATTCTCAGCAACAGTTATAGTCCATGGGAAGGAATTACTGGAATCCTTGCCACTGGTACCATATTTGTAGCCAGTACATAGAGGCAATGACAAGCACTGGTTTGACTGTTGCTTGTGCTGGTGGTTTCACAATCTAATGTTGTTGCTCTCTTGTCTAGTCAACCAGAATGGTGCTTTCCCAGCAAGGTTCGTACTCCTTTTGAAGGAGAAGATGATGAACAGGCAACCACAGAAATGGCTATAATTAAACATGCCCAAAATTCAGTTCCCGACAAGAGGAACCAGATCCGGAACCTTCTAAGTTGCCTAAGACTAAGTAGCGAGGATCATAAACACATATCTGAAACTTTTCTGGGAAAAAACATCCAAATAATTTAGTAAGACTCACCATGACTTTAAGTATTGCTGTTTCATCACATTCCATATCCCTGGCGGATGATTGTACTGGACTGCTACCATCTTCCTGCATCCTGTTACTCGAGGATGCAGTAAATTGAGACGATCCATGAGTGCCCATGTCAACATCTGACTTAGAAGCAGCAGCAAGAAGCGAGTGACCGCTAATATCTTTAAGCGAATCAATCTTTAGAAGACCTTCAAACCGATCTTTACACATTTGAAGTTTGAACCACTCATTGTGTGTGTAGAGTGTCGCTTTCAAAATCTTCATAAGCTGGGGCTGTTCAATACCAAGCCTCTTGCTAGTAGCAACCTTCAAACAATCAGATTTACATGTTTAAGAACATAATAGCAATACAAAGCACTCAGTAATATCAAAATATCCCATACTGCTCTAGCACTCTGGTATAAATTGATAGTTAGGTATTAAAGATGAAATAAACAATTCCTTCTTATACCATTCCTATCGCTTAATACTCTACCGTATGTTTATGTTTAACCTGCCAAACCATTTTAATCCATTTTACCAAAATGGGTCCCCTATAGAGGCCACTTCCACCGTGTTTTTAACAGAACCATTTCTAATTTAATCCTTTCTTGTGTTCCCACACATCCATCTTAGCATTTGCATCTAGAGTATGGCCATATAATGGATTCATACACTAATAAATAATGCAGAATAAAATCATCATATTATAGAATCCCATCATCACAATAAATTGGAATTGACAATTCAATATGTTAGCAATCATTCTTAGCAGGAATAGTGGCTCAATGCAAATGAAAATTGGAATCAAATTCTTGAAGACTCTCAATGACTCAAATGTCAACTATGGATAGAAGTATTGAACAAAAACATAACAGGATATTTTAATTAATAAATTCTCCCATTTGTCCTACCTGTAGTGACGTTGCAAGAGCATGCAATGGCAAGCTTTCACTAAGTGCCACTTCTTTAGGTTTCAGCAATGTCAACAAAGTCTCCTTTAAAGGCTTCAACAACTGAGCATTACTAGATGCCAAAGGACCCAAATATGAGCAGGCTACTTTTAGCGCACCAGAGTGATCACCAGAGCTGACAAGCTTCAAAAATTCAACCTGCAACCAATATAACAATCAGTATGCCACTCCCTTTTAAGATCAAACAAGCCAGAGCAGTTTATGATTACCTTAACGGCTTAATTTGTCATTGGGAGGGGGGAAGAGAAGCAAATGAGGTTTCTGTTCTCTTTTCCTCCTTTCTATATGGAGATTGAATGGATCTCTCTCTCTCTCTCTCTCTCTCTCTCTCTCTCTCTCTCTCTCTCTCTATATATATATATATATATATATATATATATATATATATATAGGAATGCGATCCCATGAGAACCCCCTCCCCATGAGTCCATGAGAACCAATCTCATCCATTTGAAAAATATATCTATGGATGAGATCAATTGGGGGATTAAAAACGCGCCTGTGCATATTAGGCATTATGATATGTGCATATTAAGCATGTCCCTATGTTGCACACAAGACATGCTTAATATGCACACTCGCATTTCTAATCCCTCCAATTAACCTCATCCATAGATCTATTTTTTTTAATGGATGAGATTGGTTCTCATGGACTCATGGGAAGGTTAGTTCTCATATGATCACAATCCTATATATATATATATATATATATATATATATATATATTTGTTTACTTCCCTCTGTTTCTCTACTTTCTGAAAAATGTTTTAAGGCAACACTAACCTGCTTAAGCTGAAAAAGCAAACTTGGATTCTGTGCAAAAAAAGTTGGGTCTATTGCATTAATTTCTTCAACCACCTCTGCAGCCATTCCTTTGCTTGCTAGCTCCTTGATACCAAGTAATGCCTCATATTTGTCTTCTCTACTGCATGCAATGTTTACTGAGGCCAACTTTTGAGAAGCCTGCAAAATGAAGTACCAATAGAGAGTTCATTTTGAAGACAATTAGAAACAAAAGTACAAAACACATGCCTGACATGTTATCTTTCAGCAGACTTGTGCTGGCAATCAGGGTGATAGAAGTTACCTCTTCTCTGCATCTTTCAACTGTAGCTTCTGACGTATACTCTAGTTTCTGATCTCTGCCCCTCCACCGCTTACGTTTATTCCTTTCAACAATTCTATGACTTCTATTTTTCTGAACTTTTCCAACCAGATGTGTTCCACTGGTGCTGCAGTCTTCATGGTTATTTGTCTCACAAAGGAATCGCTCTTCCACATCAGTACTTTGCATACTCACAGTGTCAATACTGCTATTCGGTGAGGCTTCCATATGAACATCAGTATGAGAAGCCTCACCATCCGAAAGTTTGCTGTTTCCGTTCCCAACTTCAAGGCAAGAGTTCTGCGATAAACATCCAGATTCTGATTGATCATCATTTATAGCTCTAACAATACCCTGAATTCCTGATGCTGGAGAAAATACCAAATAAGAATTAGCAAATGCATATAGAAAGGTTAAGAGAAATCTAAGAAAACGAAAAAGGATTTACCAGGAGGTGATGCAACACTAAAGTCCACGAAACCCCTATAAATGCAATACTCATGGACAAGTTCATCAAGCACAGAAATATTCATTCCCATACGGCACAATTCATTCTGCAACAGCAAGTTAAATCTTCATTACACATAGTCACGTAGGCTTACCCTATTCTGGGTACTACCTAGTTAGCTAATCAAGATTTTAATACATTGAGAATTTGTACATGCAATACTTAACTGACAAAGCAGAAAACTTACAAGAATTAAAGAATCTCACATATAATGTTGTACATACCTGAAATGCTTGGAATAAATCACCCTTAGCAAACCTCAGGCTGTCGACTGATCCTTGCCTTGTAAGCTCTACAGCATGAGCAAGAGCTTGTATATCAACCTAATTTCAGAATGGAACATGTTCAATGAAATGAAAATTTTTCTTCTTGATGAGGTGGTGGTTGGGTGGGGGGTAGATATGTTTAAGGGGTCTCTAACATATTTTCAAGGTGATGTGAATATATTCTGCTAGTAATACACTATCATGATATTCAAAATATTTTACCTCGTCAAATGGAGGTGCTTCATATAGACTTTCTATAGGTGTTGCAGGGAGGTCTCGATCCTCAAGAAGCAATCTCTCAGTAAGATCTGATATGGGTGACAAAACTCCTTGCCGAGAGCAAAAATTCTTATGTATGCTGCTGGTTGTACAACATAATTAAGTAAAATGGCACAAAACATTTACCTTTGTGATAACTTTACTTCTTAATTGATAAGATAAAAGCATGAAAATGATCTAAGATGTATGCCAGTATGTGGTATAAAAGCATATCTGATGAATGAAATGAACATAAGTGTATGCGCTGTATATCTGAGAATCAGTCACCTTATCAAGTATCTCAGTGTCATTGCAAACAGTGGGTCATATGCGTGTAAATGCGCTCTCAATATTGAGGAAAGCAGGCCAGCAATCTCAAACCTCCTCTTTTCTGACCACTAAAGGAAAAGGAGTTATCAACTATGCAATTATAGAGAATAACATGTAGGTACTGCTATAATAGCAAGTACCAAAAGCTTTTCTAATCTAATACCTCCACTTTTTTTGCAATGAGAAAGGGTAACAAAACAAAAAAACAAAAAAAAACAAAAAAAAAAAAACACACACACACACACTAAATAAAATCAATGCTACTCTAAATACTAGGTAAATATAAATAAGTGACAGAGCTCACAAGAAGGCAATTACCACTCACCTCATTTGCCACAGGAGAATTATTATCACTTCTCTCATAAATAAGTGCAAGAAGAACATGCTTAAATTCCTCGTATGCTTCCTTCAAAACCAGAAATAAACACTAATCAGGACCCAGGTACACAACTTCATATTCTCAAAGTTCTTAGAACAACCAAATGTTTCTAATCTTCCCAAAACTATTAGCTCTGGTTTCATGCTGAGTGGAACACAAAATGAACTTTCGTGGCCCCCAGTCTTAATTGGCAGTTCATGACATGGCAAGTTTTTATGGGAGAAAGCTGACACACAGATCTGTGTGTGTGTGTCCTGGGCAGTATCATTGATACTGGGCTCGTTTGAAAGGGATCCCAGTTCAATGAATGTTTCCAGCCCAGGGACAATTGCTCATTGCTACCAAATTGCAATTAGATTAGAAAGCTGAAAATAATATGCTTTAAAGCAGTATGTTTTTATGCACTTAATTCAGAATCATAAACCTGACAGCGAAAACATACACCATTAATAATGAGTATGCAGTTATGCACTTTTTGTACACGTGGAAATAGATGAAATCCAACTTTTTTTACGTGAAAAGTGTAGCAAAGCAGCAAGGCACTGCCTCGCTTTAAAGTGCAAAGTGAAGAATTGGACATCAAAGTTAAGGAAGTTTTATGACTGAAAACAATATGGTTCAAAAATATTACAACTGAAATCATCATTTTATCATAAAATTTTCATTTTATTGGGACAAATCTAAACAGCTTACACATAATCATGTTTTTAGAATCAGAAAAGATAAGTCAACATACAGGGTAAGCATCCAATGCACAAGGAGCTAGAGATGTTCGCAGGCAATCAATAGCAGATTCTCGATCCTCATCAGTGCCTTTTCTTAAAAGCTCAATAAATTTCTGTTCAAGCCATGAATATATCCACTCAGTTCACTGTTAACAGAAAACTTAAATCACAGTGAGGATAGATAAAAATAAGGAAACTCTTCAAATCCTATTCCATGAAAGGCCTCACTATATGGTTTTTATCTTTTGGTAAATTCTAATTGAAGTTCTTAGAAGATGTTAGAAATTTATCAAAATAATTTTTGGCATTCAATTTAAAGATTTGTAAATTGTTATAAGACTATTTAGTAATTGAATAATATTAGGTACATTCAATTTTTTAACATAAATATTCAATTTGGAAATTTGTATAATATTTATGTGTAAAATTGCACTCGAACTCTTCTAGATCATTTCTTACTTTCAGAAGTTTTTTTTTAATTAATAATTATTTTTAACCATCCTATTTCCTATCAATACTCAACCATTTGGCAACCTCATTTCCCAGGGTAAAAGCCACCTATAGATCGAAAACAGACATTTTCAACACCCATACATACCTCTTGATTTCTTTTAACTTCAGTACATACTGAAACTATCCTCATTGATCAATCTTCCCCAAACCTTCTCAATTCCCCACTCTCCCCTCCACCAAAGCAGAAACATAAGCAACTTAACTAAGGAAAAATCTAATCGGTTGACTAAAAAAAAAAAAAACTTTTACATTCATTGAGCATTTTGAATCAAACGGAACTCCAAAACAAACAGAAACACAAAACTCCATATTTTTCAAACGTAATCTTCCTTCCGCGATATTGTAGCACACAAAGAGGAGGTGCAGACAAATTACCTGCTTCTGTAAGCGGAAAAGAATACGGTGATCATTGAGAACGGAGGGCGCATGGAGGCGCAGGAGATCCACGGCAGCATCGACCTCTCCGGCCTCCAGACAACGTCTAATTTGTCGAATAAGTAGGCGCAAGTGGAAGGAGGAGGAAGACGGCGTGGAAGGAGAGGGCGACGACGGAGGCGAAGGCGCAGAGGCGGAGTCATCGATTAGGTTTTCAGATTTGGCGAAATCGAAAATCAGCGTGTCGAGTGCTTCCCAATTCACGGGCATGGAATCCATGACGACGATGATTTCGAATTATTGGGCGTGACGTGTAGGGAGAATGCCCCGTAGGCGTGAGGAAAGAGGCTTGGTTTTGTCGATGATGGAATGGAAGTTGAAATGTTGAATTCGCTGGAAGAAAGAAGAGAAAGGCGGCGTGTGAGTAAAACTGGATTCAAGGTTAAATATTGCCACGTGTTTTACATTTATCCACTGAATATCTTCTTTTTCCTTGGGTGCAAAAAACTCTGCTCCATCTTCATTTTTCTACTTCTTTATATTATAAACAAATAAGGTTCAAATTGGCCACTGAATGTAACTTGAAAATGTAATTAGGCCACTGAACAAAAAAAAAAGTGTAATTAGGCCACTGAACACTCCAAAAATGTGCAATTTCACCTGATAGCAGGTTACCCTCAATTTTAGCAGGTTATCTGCTTACATGACAGCTGAGTTGGCATTTTTAATAAATTTTAAATCATTTTTAATAAATTTTAATAATAAATTTTTATTTAAAAAAATAAAAACGACTTTATTTAATTTTTTATTTATTTTTTTTTAATTTTTTATAAAATTTATTATTAAAATTTATTATTAAAATTAATTATTTAAAATTATTTAAAAATTATTTAAAAATGCCACCTCAGCTGCCACGTAAGCAGGTAACCTGCTAAAATTGATGGTAACCCGATATCCGGTGAAATTGCATATGTTTGGAGAGTTCAGTGGCCTAATTGCACGTTTTTGAAGTGTTCAGTGGCCTAATTGTACTTTTTGTTCGTTCAGTGACCTAATTGCATTTTCAGGTTACGTTCAGTGGCCAATTTGAACCTTATTCCTTATTTTTTTGATGTTGTAAAATACCACATCACAAGCATGTAATAACTATTCAAACATGCAAGTTAACTATTACCTTATTGTATTAGTTAGTTTGATCTAAATCACAAATTAATTTTTTGAGTACATCACTCCATATATAATTGTATTGTTTGACAATTAACTTTGAGTGGTTAGTGGATAGCGAATTGTATTAGTAGAAATATGGATCTTCAGAGTTAATACCAGAAATTGTCCTTCAACGAACGATTGACATAGTGTCAATTTTGATCATAGACTTTTAACTTGACCAAATGTGATACCTATACTTTTTAATTTGTGTCAAAAGTGGTCATTTGTCACAATTTATGTCCACTGGTTGTCAAAATGGTAGCGTATTAGCGTCATTTGCTTTGTTTTGTTGCCTGGAATAACTAGAGTATGTTCATATATGCTTGGTGGAGAAGAAGAAAAAAAACTCCAACACTACAAAATATGTTCTAACTATAATCCATTTGTAGCAATTTATTTTTATAATGTGGGTGTTGAATTTTACTTTTTGAAGATTTTTCTAGCCTAGGTAAATACTATACATATTTTTATTATTTATTTTAATATAGTTACTTACATTGGATAATCATTCACACAAATAAAACTTTAGTTGATTTTATAACAGCTCGTTTGTTTCGCTGGAGAATATTTAAAGAGAAATGAAATTGAAGTTCTATAGAAATAAATTACCGAAAAATAGATTCTATTATTTGGTTGGTTTATAAAGGTAAGGAATAATGAATATAAAGATCAATATGTCTCTAAAAAGATTAATGAATAAATAGGTACATATGTAATTAGAATGAACAGATACTACAATGTAATAGGGCCAGTAACATTCAAAAAAAAGGTACATATGTAATTAAGAAACTTTCATAATGGTAAAATGGTTCAGTCATGTTATTTTTTTTCCAGGACTTGCGGAAAACAAAATCTCACCCATTTACAAAGAATTCATTTTCATCAACTTTGAGGAATTCATTTTTCAATGAAAAATGAATACCATGAACCAAACAACATAAAACTATATTTTCTCTAACTTAACAAAAAAGAAAAAAAAAACATTTTCTTAAACGCTTGGCGATGTCGAATTCCGTTTTGTTAAGCGATCTGCGAATTGTGCCGCTCATGCTGTTGCTAGGGAGACCTTTTCTGTGTCAAGTTGCAGGAAATGGTTTGATATTTCCATTTTTTCTTGTAAACTGTCTTGCTAATGATTTAATGCATTAATTAAGTTTTCATCTTCAAAATATATATATATATATATATATATATATATATATTCTTTGAAAAATATGTTCCATCCAACCAAACACCTTTTAAGAATCGACCACAATGAGGTTGGAAAAAGGTGGTTTTACTCTTCAAGACTTCAACTATGTATCCACGTTATAAAAATTAGTCCATTAAAAATTAAGTTTTATGGATCCAATAAATGTCACAAGAACTTTAAAATAGATTTGAAAAATAGCTTGTTGTAAATGGATTTTAGTTAAAATATGTTTAATAGTAGACCTGGCAATTTGTGTATACGGATCATTAACGGGTCGACACGATAACGACACGAACACGATAAGGCAAAACACGGACACGACACGTTATGACTAACAGGTTCAAATTTTTAACATGAACACGAACACGATTTGTTAACGGGTTGACACGATAGACACATTTTGTTAACAGGTTTCAAGTCGTGTCGACACGATATGACACGAAACCCGTTTAAACCCGCTATTTCTATTAATATATTTAAAAAAAAAAAAACTAAAATTTAAAGTTAAGTTCTATAAAAAAAAGAAATAAAACCTACAATTCAATCTATTAAAGAAATTTAAAAATATTCAATTCATAACATTCATAAAATGATAAAATAACAACAAAAAATCATAATTAAAAAGGAGTCTATACTAGTTTTTAGAATAAAATTGAACACAATAAAAATTCAAATTTCAAATTGTTGAATATCAATAATTGTTGCGTAGGATATTGGCCTAATGTAGTAAATTCATCCTTAGTCATGTTCATAATATCTTTTGTAATTTCATTAATGACAATGGTTCTTAGCAGGTTATAAATAGATTGGGTAAATGGGTTCGTGTTAACGGGTTAACACGCTAATATTAACGGGTTAAACAAGTTCTTAATAGGTTTAACGGGTTAACCCGTTAAGACACGAAACATAACGGGTCCTTAACGGGTCAACCCGTTAATGACCCGGGACACGTTAAGGTTAAACACTAATATGTTATTTTGTGTGTCCGATTTCGTATCGTGTTAACGGATCGTGTCGATAATTGCCAGGTCTATTTAATAGTGTTAGGCTTTATTATTTTCTCTCCACCAAGATTATGTAAGAAAAATTCCTAGTCGTTCATGGTGTAAAGAAGAAGCAGATGACGGTAATACCCTCAATTTAGATGATCAACTAACAAAAATTGTGATGGATTACTTACTACTTTTGGTACAAATTGACAAGTTAACGTATCACATTTGATTGATTTAAAAAGTTTATTCCAAAAGGTTGAACCTCAACTCTAAGAGTCCTTCACACTTCGCCCCGGTAAAACATCTGGGAGGAACATGAGGCCCCCCATACTCCGGCTCAACAAAGCATCTGGGAGGATATAAATTATGATAAACTGAACATGAGGTCCCCCACACTGGATGTAAATCATGGTAAACTGAACATGAACCACAAAGTCTAGACCTTTGCTTATTGCGCACAAGGAACCATCTTAATAGTTAAAAGATTTTTTAAAAAAAAATTTACTCATTAAATAAGAGACATGATTCCTCATCGGGTTTGGAGGGCTTTCCATCCACTTGAGTTTTTTTTAATACAATTTTTGAAGCATGAGGAGGCGAGGAGCCCATCTCTTTAATATAGGCAAATTAAACCATCGACAAGGGTCCATATCGCATTATCAATTTATATACAGATACATAATATATTAACTATAAATACATAATTTTTGGAGCAAGATCGGTAATGCAAGGTGGAATGCAGTCATGGATATTGTTTAATATATGTATGATTTTAGATATAAATTAGTCTTAAATCTCCTGACCAATTAATTACTGTGTTTGAGGGTAGAAAATTTGGTTACACAGTGCTGAAATATTGAGAATAGGCAGAGTCCCACCCAAAGTGTAAGACATGTCACGAGAGAACCGCGATGGCCACGGAACACACGGCTTTTTCCTCGTAAAAAAACCATGGAGAAATGTTGTTTAGTTTCACTATATTCCTACACCCACAATGTACGCAACTTTGTAGTCTCATTTCATTCATCCTCGTATACGATACGCAAAAAACTAAGTCACTGTGAGCTAAAATTGCAACTAGGAGTCAACCTGTAGTCTTCTTGCTCTCCTCTCCCATTTTTGCAATAATGAAAGACCTTGACCATAAACAACACCCCATATTGTTTTTCACTTCAACAATGTCAAAAATGAAATCTTTTGGTGAAATCTGATGTTGGGTACAGCAAAACTTTGTTAAGAAATGATTCATTTTGACCATATTTGGCATTTGGGAATGGAAAAAGTATGATTTAATTTTAACCCTAAAAATATTCGACCGCAAATAAAAGTTGAATAAATGCGTGAGTGATGCGCAACAGGAACAAAAGTTTTCCAGGAGAGCACCCTCCTGGACTTGGAATCGGGGAGCGGCAATTTCCATTTTGCCGACTTTTCTTTAATGTTTTCCCACCTTTCAACTTAGACTTCCAAAATCTAGCGACCAATCTTTCTTCAGATTAAGCTTAAAGGGGGAGCGATGAAACTGAAGGTGGTTCTGAATCAAGAAAATCTCGGCGACCTGGATGTGCCCAAGGAGGAAATTATGGAGGAGGAAGAAGAAGAAGAAGAAGAAGAAGAAGAAGCTGGAAGGCCTGGCAATGAAGGGAATTTGAGTCTTGTTAGTTTACCCATCTCCGACCACGCTCCAGCGCCCTCTCCTGTCAGTTTATTCCCTTTTTTTTTTCTGCTTCATCTCTATCTCTGTGGTTTTGGGTGGGTAGATTTTGCTGAATTGTGATGGATCTGGGTTACTGTTGATAGGGAAAGAGGAAGAGGAAGGCGAAGGGGGTGATGGATGAGTTTTCGCCATTGCTTTTCATCAGGAAGAGGAAGAAGAGGCCCCGGCCCCCTGGTTCTCAATTCAACCATGTGAGCTTTCCTAAACTGTTTATAACTGAAGAAATTATGAAAATAAATGTAAAGAATTTGGTTCAGATTCGTGTCAGTTTGGTCTGAGATTTTGACAATGGCAAATCTCAATTT